CTGATTGTGGCTCTGATCATCAGCTTCTCATAGCAAAATTCAAGCTTAAGCTGAAGAAAGTAGGAAAAACCACTGGGTTATACAGTCAGGTATAATCTAAACCAAATCCCTTATAAATACACAGTGGAAGGGAACAACAGGTTTAAGGAACTAGATTTGGTGGACAGAGTGCCTGAAGAACTGTGGATGGAGGCTTGTAACATTGTACAGGAGGCAGCAACAAAAACCAAGGAAAAGGAAATGCAAGAAAGCAAAGTTGCTGTCCAACGAGGCCTTACAAATAGCAGAGAAGAGAAGGGAAACAAAATGCAAGAGAGATAGGGAAACTTACAGAAAATCGAATGCAGACTAGCAAGGAGAGGCAAGAGGGCATTCTTAAGTGAAGAGTGCAAAGAAATAGAGGAAAATAATAGAAAAGGAAAAACCAGAGATCTGTTCAAAAAAATTGGAGATACTAAAGGAGCATTTTGTGCAAAGATGGAGATATTAAAGGACAAAAATAGTAGGGACCTCACAGAAGCAGAAGACATCAAGAAGAGGGGGAAAGAATACACAGAGGAATTATACCAGAAAGATTTGGATGTCCCGGACAAGCCAGATAGTGTGGCTGCTGACCTTGAGTCAGACATCCTGGCAAATAGAAGGGGAAGATATGGAGGCAGTGACAGATTTTACTTTCTTGGGCTCCATGATCACTGCAGATGGTGACAGCAGCCATGAAATTAAAAGATGTCTGCTAAATAGGAGGAAAGATATGACGAACTTAGACAGCATCTTAAAAAGTAGAGACATCACCTTGCCGACAAAGGTCTGCATAGTCAAAGCCATGGACGTGAGAGCTGGAAGAAGGCTGACCGCTGAAGAATTGATGCTTTTGAATTGTGGTGCTGGAGGAGACTCTTGAGAGTCCCCTTGACTGCAAGGACAACAAACTTTTATGTTCTGAAGGAAATTAACCCTTAGTGCTCACTGGAAGGACAGATCCTGAAGCTGAGGCTCCAGTACTTTGACCATCTCATGAGAAGAGAAGACTCCCTGGAAAAGAGCCTGATGTTGGGAAAATGTGAAGGCAAGAGGAGAAGGGGACGACAGAGGACGAGGTGGTTGGACAGTGTCATTGAAGTTACCAACAAGAATTTGACCAAACTCCAGGAAGCCGTGGAAGACCAGAGGGCCTGGTATGCTCTGGTCCATGGGGTCATGAAAAGTCAGACATGACTTAATGACTAAACAACAACAAACAGCTGTGATTGCTTTTGTTTGCTCTAGAGTTTATTCTTTGCAAATTACTTACCATATTTTTCCTTTTATAAGATGTCCCCATGTATAAGATTCCCCCTCCCACTTTTGCTAACCCAAAATTAAGAAATCTTAACTTAGTTTGAGTATTCAGCCTTTGGCCTTAGAATGCTTGGACATTGTGTGTCCCTCTGCGCCTACAGGCTGGACATCTTGTGAGGTGTGTTCCAGTTGGTTTGTTGAGCATCAGCTGACATCAGTTCCATACGGCTCATGATTGGAGGAAGCTATGTCTCCTGACTTTAGGTGTAGTGATCACATGAAACTAAAGAAAGGCTAATTATAAAGGTGATCACAGAAAAGAGAGAAAGCTATTAACTTTAGAGATAAGTTAATGAGGAGTCGACACGAAGATGTCCACCAACAGACCCCAGGCGACGCCCCAAGAATTTCTTTTTATTAACCTTAGCAAGCTTACAGATTGTTGACAGAATTAAGATAGGGTACTGGTTACCTAATGGCCACTTAGGATTGGCCGGAGAAAGCCTTTGAAGTTATGCTCTGACTCTAAGGGAAGAGAGGCAGAATGGGCAGTTGCCCCTCCCTCGTCAGAAGCAGCTGTCACTGTGCCAGGAGAGTTTGCTCTGCACTGAAAAACGGATAACAGCTTCAGCAATCTTGAGGAGAGTGCTCCCACAGTGGGAAGCTAAGCCTCATGACTGAAGGAAGCCTGTTTACAGAGGCAAGATATGAGCCATTTTGTTCTATCTTCAGCTTACTTCAGTGTATGAAATGCCCCTCAATTTTTAGTGTAATGCTTTTAGGGAAAAGTAGCATCTTATACATGGAAAAAATATCTATGATTAGAAGAAGGAGGAGGAGGAGGAGAAGGAGGAAAGAGAATTGTATGCACGGGTCCCCACCCCTTTTACTCCATTGCATTTGTGGGATGTCAAAAAGTTTAAAGAATGCAAGTACAGTGTCATTGCAAATTCCTAATGATTTGTGTTTTTGAAGAGATGTTCTGAATTGTGTGTAATAGCATTGTAGTGAGATTGATTCACCTCCTTTTTCATCTAATTCTTTACAATATGTTCATAGGCTTTCTTTCATATTTTTGTGCTCACTCCCTTTTTGTAAACATAGCTTGGTATTGTTATTTGGCATGTGATGATCTTATGAGGTGTCAGTCACACACAGCCAGACGCAGAACCAGCATCTTCTGTGGCAGCTTCAGCAATTGGAGCTCCCTGTGTGCATAAACATTGGACATGATACTGACCATATTGTTTTAATTTATGACATAAAAAAATAAAAATTGACTTATTCCTGACTTGAATAATCAGACCTATATATCTTCTTCTTCCACCATATAAAAAGCATGTGTAGCTTATACAAAACTGATGCAGAGCATTCTACCACATGTATGGTTACATCTATGTAGGCCTTTCCCACAGAATCAGTACCTGCCATCCTATAAATGGAATGGGGAACTATAGGCTAGATGTCTTCTGCTGCTTACCAGTATCTTAGCGATCACTCTAGTTCTTGTCTCAACACCTCACCCATTATAATGTTTTATTCTGAACCCAAAACTGTCCCCTATTGCTTTTCTAGTACCCTGAACTCTTTATTTCTGCTCTCAAAAACAATGTTATGTTAAAGAGAGGGTCTGTCATCAGTTTGATCAATCTTTGTTGCTGTTCCCAGATATTTATTTATTTATTTATTGCATTTATATGCCGCCCATCTAGACATAGTCTACTGTTTAGATACTGTTTCCCTGTTAAGTAACTAAGAAATACATCTTGCTTGAGTACCAAAAGACACACCTACCCGCTGCTCTGATTTATAATACTGAGGATTACGAGGACTGAGCTAAAGTCCCTGTCCATATAGGGGAGTTTTAAGACCTCAGAGATGATGAAACAGGAAAGACTGAGGACAATCTGTGTATCTCAGTTTGTGTGTGTATTTAAGAAAGACAGGAAACTTTTGGAATATAACTTAAGGAGTACAAGAGTAGAGGGTTGTTTCTTTTTTTATAAATAATCAGATAAATAGGAAAACATACATGCAGCAAAATTCTAATCCACATATTCATCTGAGAGGTGTATACATAGAAATTCACAAAAAAATGCATAAATTATAATCACAGTATTGGTGGACATTAGCCCTCTGCAAGATGAAAAGTGGTCTTTAGAATCAACATTTTGTCTGAAATTTTCTAACTGCTGTATTAATGTTATAAATTCTGAACCTTTAATTTCTTATCACCATATAATGGCTTTTTAAAGGCTGCATACAAATAAGTTTACAATCTGTACATTAATTGTACGCATTACATATTTTAGAATGCAAGATATTGCCGAACATGATTTAAAATTGCAAAATATCTGTAAAGGGGTTTTATATGTTCAGATAAAATTATTTAAAATTTAATCTAAAAGTAAGAAATAATCAACTAAATTAAAACCTTTTTTCCCTGAATATCTATAAACAGAGCCCAGATGGCCGTATAGAAGTCAAAGGACAGCATGGGAAATCATCACTGCACATTAAAGACGTGAAGTTGTCAGATTCAGGAAGATACGATTGTGAAGCTGCAAGTAGAATTGGTGGGCATCAAAAGAGCATGTATCTTGATATTGAATGTAAGTTTTACTCTCTCTCTTTTTATATGTGTTGTGCAAAAACTATATCCCTAAAGTAATTTTAAGTTCTCTTTTGAAAGCAAATGAAATTTTAAATAGTATTTAAGCCAAAGGATTTACACTATGTGAGTGTATAAGGAGTCATAGTAAAAGTCTGACAATGCTCCATTATAAACTAGCATTAGATGAAGCCTATGTTTCATCAAGAGTTAATCTATAGATAATGTAAAACAACTATTCGTTGAATAGGTCTGAAATTAAAGTTATTTTTTAAGAAACAATTTTATTTCTTACGTCACTGATCATCTAGCTCAGGGATTCCCACTGAGTCATGGCCCTCTTTTATAATAGCCAAGTAATCTGCGACCCTCATTCATATTTGCAAATAATGGCATTTTTATGCCACGGGGTAAAGTCTTTGCTCCTCTAAAAGCATAGGCTTCTTTCTTCCCCAAAGGGCCTGTTTCTCATACATACAAATACAAACTAACTTTAATATCCCATTCCAAAAGATCAAGGAAGA